GGAACTATACGTTTCAGAGCCCCCTGAGTCTGAAAAACACATTTTTAGCCATAGAGTGTTTAGCCGGTGTTTAGGCTGTCATTTGAAAGGTAATGAAATTCCCTACAAAGCCATATAAAAATCGTTCATTTTGGACAATTATTAACGAAGCTACAGCTATTCAATTTCCAATGTAAGATTACGGGTTCATATCCTGAGAAAGGGGTGAATGAGAGAATAAAGATGACTAAGTGAAAGTAAGAAAATATGTTGCCCGCACCACACAATCCTCAATATTTCCTCTACTTTTTACAGATATTATTGTTCGACAATACTAAGCTATAGCAAAAAGTTTGTGATTAGCAATATTAGTGAGTAATGATCAGCAACAGTCGAGAAATTTTTACACAGATCTACCTTAAGTCGGTTTACATTGCTTCAGTTTATCAAATAAATCTTTTGCTTGATCAATTTTCAGGAAAATTAATCTAGTTCAATTCTTTTTTGTTTCTTCATGAACATACGTAAGACATAAAAACTTTTCTAGGTAGAAAGTCGTGTGAGTGGACACACTAGATATTTTATTGTGGGACGTAAGTGTAAAAAAAAAGTATATATTTTTTTCAAATATGTTGATTAATTAGAAGTCATTTCTGCTGTTTATGCTAGCAGGTAATATGGTCTTGAATAAATGAATTCCACAAATGAAAATATTACGAATTTGTAAGTAAAAAAAAATACTTATAATAATTATCTCTATTGAGCATTTCTCTTTTTTTTCTTTAACTTAAAAGCACTTTTTTAAAATTAATTTCGGAGACAGGAACGGGGTGACATTATCTGTCATGTCTGTGGGCGGCATTTAAAAGGTTAAAACAACTCCACTCCTGATAGTGAATATGGCAGAACTTCAATTTAAAGAAACCTCTTTGCCAATCAACTTCAGTAAAATTACGTGATCTGAAAATTGAAGTTATCCTACTCAAGTTTTGCCCACGCCTATTGTTGAACGAAATTTTAATGTTCTACCAATAACATTGAAGACTTTCTTTTTTCAGATGTAAGGCCTGCTATTTAGACAAAAGCTGTTAAGCAATATGGCGCTAGTGGCCAGTATTGTTAGATTAGTGTGTACTGCTTTTTAGTTTGTAATTAAATTAAATTATTTCAAAACTGTACAATAATCTCTGTCCAGTGGAGGTATTGTGTACTTCACTTTTGTCTGAACAGAGCTTACACATAATGTGCTGCTTACATTATGTATAACTATAATCGAATACATAAATTTAAATATGGGTCAACAAGCACAAATAATGCCTCGCTTAACTACTAAAGCTTTATCTCAAGGCTGGTCGATTGTCATTAAAATTAATAGAATTTTAACTAAATTACTGCTTTTTAATTTTCTATTATGAATGAAGGGAAAGTCCTTTATGTTTTAGACTGAGTGAACAATAATTTTAAAATTAACAAGTCGTTAATAAATACAAAGAAAACAAGGAGAAAGGGCAGTCGGGCTGGAGGAAGGTCAGAGAAAACACGGCGCTAGTCCAAAACAAACGTTTGCAATCAAAACAAAACTTTATTTCACATCGCAATAAGTCAAATCCCTCAGATGAATCAAACTTTATATTTATAGAACAGAAAGTTCAATCTAATTTATAAATCTGTAAGGATGAAAAGCCAATAATATAATTACTTGCCAACAAATTAATAGACATTTAATGTAAATCATTAATTTTACAACATTTATTCGGCCATTCAAGATTGACTTACCTACACCTCATCACTAAAGCTGCACCATTACACCACTAGATGGCATCATTACAACAGTGCCTCAACAATAGCCCATAATTTCCGACGTTGCACAGTTGACATTACACTAATAAATTTAACGAAATGGGGATATCGCAAAACGTATAGACAGCATTAGGGAACGAAAGTAATATATCCGATAAATTAATATCATATTTTACTAACAGAAATTTGATAAAGGAGATATAATGATAATTTTCTTTATTTTATTCAATATATGTTTTTCTTCTTTACATTTTATTCATTTTTCTGTAATATATAGGTGTCTCAGCTCTAGTGAACTCGGGGTGATTCTAGACAAAATTTTCAACAAAAAAGTTTATATGATGGGCTGATTTAGAAAAAAAAGGAGTTATCACGATTTTTATTGAATAAGAAGGAATTATTCAATAATTAATTAAGATAATTAATTTCGTAAGTACACCATTGCATTGGAAAGTAGACAATTTTTTTTTGTTGAGAAAACAGTGATTAAATTTACTAATGTCAGTGATAAAACGGACTTTCAAGTTCTACTCGTGTATGGATACTGTGGCTGCGAAAGTATAGCGACCGTATTAGAAGTGAAATTCGCTTTTATCATTGACCTTAGTAAATTTAACCAATGTTATATCAAAGAAAATTTTGTCTACATTACGATGGTGTACTTAGAATTTAATTATTTTGAATAGTTTTTGAGCAATTTCTTCGTATTAAAAAAAAAAGTGATACAAAGAATAAAAATATTGTCTCGACTGCTTTTCCGTTCGGAAACGACCCTTTATCAAATGAACTTTTTTTTTTGGAAATTTCATCTTGAATCACCTTCCCTCTCAAAGTTTGGTCATTAAGAAGTAAGACACCCTGTATACATAAAATAATTCTATTTACCTGTGAATCTTTTTTATTATATATTTTTGTTTCAGGTTCATTTATTTGTTGTTGGTTTGGGCTTAAGGCATAAAATGCTAGGGTCATCGACGCCTGTGAGTTTGATCAATATTTTGGTTGCATGCTGAGTTGAGAAACTCCTTAAGGAGAAAAAAATAATCAAAATCTAATAATAAATAAATATAATAATACATGAAACATATTTAAGAACATATGAAAAATGAAATCAATAAAAATTAAAAAAAAAACAATAAAATTAAAAATTATATTTATTTCTATATTTTATTTAACAGTCCATGGATTTTAAGAAATTTTATAACTGTTCAAATGTTTGATTCGTCGTTGCTCAACACTATTGATCTATCCGGTCTCAGAGATAATCCGTTTAAATTAAAGATATAATAAGGGCATTCCTGAAAAATATGACTGACATTTAGATGGCTATTGCAGTGTTGACATTTTAGTGGTTGCTCTTTAATAATAAGATGTGAATGATTTAGATTCGTGTGTCCTATTCTTAATCTAGCCACGGCGACCTTCGGTTCATTTATTTTTCTTTTATTTATCTCATTTCATTGCTCAATTTATACAGTTTAGATTTTTCCTTTTTCTTTTAAAGTAATGTTATATACATATATATCTGATTAGTATTATTTATTTATTTATAAGTCTAATTATTTATCAATTCTTTTATATTTATTTTCATTATTTCTTTTTTATAAATTTTTTTATCGTACAAACTTAATATGCTAACATTTGTAATATTTTATAAATCGGGCACGGATGAACTAGATGTTTTGCAATATCAGAACAATGAACTAACAACTTTAATTTTAATTTTTAAAGTGATGAATTAGAGTGCTTTCTCGTAGTAGTTTCTTTCTCGTAGCTCTGGGTATTTTCTCAACAAGCGTGTTTCATGTCATAATACTCCTCTGTACACATTTACTTGATGTATTCATACTAATACAGTTGTAAATATCATAATTAAAGTTTTTAAAAAAATGTGATGAATTGTCCGATGCATCGATTTGTATAACTTGTCCTACGTGAATGGCATGGAGTCTAATTTTTATTATACTTCATAATTCAAATTATTTAAATCTTAGAACGGTTCCTAGAATTCATTTCCTGACAGGACTTCTTTCCTTAACATTTGCAGAACGCGCCTGAACAATATAAATAGATTGATAAGAAGAATAGCAGTTCTTTAGATCTAATTATTATAAAGTATAATCACTGTGAATCACAGGCGGATCTACGGGGGGGGGGACGGTGAGAGAGGAAGCTTTCAGGCTGAAGCCCCCTCCCTCAAAATGGTAAAATGTAGCCATGTTTATGGTAAAAAATATTTAAAAATAATCTCTTAAAGTGTTATTCTACGTGTAATTATATTTAATAGGACCTCAAGAATCACTTAAACACCATTTAATATAGGTAGTTAGTATCTTTCTTTTTTCCACAAAGTAATTATATATATATATATATATATATATATATATATATATATATATGAAAAAAAATCTTTCGGGCTGAAGCCCCCCGAAATGCTAGTGCTGTGAATTACCCAAAAGATGGTATTAGGCCGCGGTACAGACCCTTTTTTTTTTTTTCAAATTATTAACATCCTTCTAAAACTTCGTGAATAGCATCATCTAACCGTAAAGCACAAATTTCATATCTACCAAAATTCTCAGAAACGAGGCGTTTTCCCATTAAATTAATTAGTTTATCAGAATCATTCGGTGTTTTCATATAGGAATCGATACTTACCGCGATTTAAAAAAAAATCTAATAATAATTGCTACTTCTAAACTCCCCCCCTCCGAAGTGTATCAAACAGTTTTAACCATTCTTACATACTTGCTCATGATTTAAGTAACTTCGCAGCAACAGCCGAACCACTCACAAGATTAACAAATAAAGCGGTTACTTAGCAACGGAAATTACTTTCATTGAAAATTAATTGTTTCAAATATGCTTTAACATGAAGCATTCCATTTTATAAATGATCTTCAAAAATAATATTACGTCTGCTTTTATGCCTAGATTGTAAACTAGTTAATTTGTAGTTTTACTTCCTTTTTTACGAGTTAAAACTTGATTGGAACTTTTCCAAACGAGCAGAAACATTAATGAAGCCTAGGTTGGAAAGCCCACGCAATAATTTCCGGAAAGCACGACATCACTGTTGAATAAATTGTTTATTTAATCTAACTTAATTTAAGTCCAATCCCTTAAATCTAAGTTCAGAAGGTGATACACAATTTGCTATTTACTGATTATAAATTATGTACGGCTGATTTTGTATATTGAATAAATAAATGGAAACTCACCGATCTGGAAGGATTCTTGACAGTCGGAAGCCATGATGTCGACAATCTCGAACTGAGGCATTCTCAGTCCTTTTCCCATGATCACTGGGTTCAAGTTCTTCCACTCTAGGCGGAGCTCCTCGATCGTCTTCGAAACTAAAAATAAATTAAAAAAAAAAAGGTTCACTTTTGAAAGCAATATATATATATATATATATATATATATATATATATAAAACATCAAAATTATTATTATCATTTTTACTTTGCTACCGCTACTAGGTTAGAAAAGAACAGGGCAGCCTAGGAAATGGCTTTAAACGAAAACATTAAAGCTAGGCGTGCATCCATAACTTGAGAAATCTCTTTATTTAGCAGGTTTCAGTAGCAGAGATCGCGAGGGTCTGATTTCCGGAGATCTATTAATTGAAAAGTCATTTAAAAAAAAAAAAAAGTTCTTTAAGCAAAGCAGATTTTAATGCCAGTAAAGGTTGGCTTGATTCCAAGCAGGCTGGTTTCCAAAGCAGACATAGAATACGTTATTTATATTAAATTTCACGGGGAAATTTCTTAATACTCATTTTATTATTCATTATAAATAAGTCATAGAAACGTCATAAAGGTATTTGATACTTGCTTATAGTGAACGAGTGCATACAACATTGACTACTGAAGTCGTGTATTTTTAAGGAATTTACGAGATGGCATTTTTTTAAGCAACAAAATCAGTGACTCTAAGGACATTAGATGATAATTTTTTTTTTTTTTGGCAATGTGTTTAAATTTAACTGATATTGTTTTCGTTTCCGGCAATTTTTTTATTATTATAAATTTAATCGTTGATAATCTTCGATGATCCGGAAAGGCTATGCAATCTATGTGTTTATTAAATAAGTAGATAAAAAAATTTTTATTAATTGAAATACATAATTTTCCACAAGGCTGTGATGGATTACATAATTGCTTTAGTGCAAGAAATTTATACACGATACAACGGTACGATATATATATACATATCTTTTTTTTTTTAATTTACATAGTGCGTTTGGTCTGGCACCCGGGACTGATGTACAAAATCCGTAAATTCCTACCACCTACATACTTCCTCATTATCCGGTCCTACCTTACTGATCGATACTTTAAAGTAAATCACAAAAACTTGTATTCATCCCTTTTTTCCCAGTCTGCTAGTGTATCACAAGCTAGTATCCTCGGTCATATCCTCTACACAGTTCATACAGCTGATATCCCAACCCATTCTGACACTGTCAACACCACGTACGCTGATGACACATGTACCCTGTCTGTTAATAATGGTCCATCAACTGCATCCCAAACTCTCCAATCACATATCACAAACCTTGAAGAATGGTGTAAAAACTGGAGAATTGAAATAAATCCCATCAAATTACCTTTACCCTGCGTCGCAAACCCATGACCTCCTGTCCTTTACAGTATCCTTTAACAATTCTCCACTTATCCCAGTTGAACAAATTCGTTACCTAGGACTACACCTGGTCAAACAACTCACATGGAATCCTCATACAAGACTGAAACGACAAGAAACCGCTCGACGTTACTGACTACTCCAACACTTACTAGACAAACGCTCCAAGCTTTCAATCAATTACAGACGACTCATATTTACTATTTATTGAGCTTTGGGGATGCACTAAACTATCGAATTCCCTCGTATCCAATCCTTACAATCCAAAATCTTTCATAAAATCCTCAATGCTCCTTACTTTGTCACAAATAAAATGATACATAAAGATCTTAATGTTCCATTTGTTTCCGATTTGGCCTAATTCAGATACCTATCCTTCCATAACAAACTGCAGAACCATCCGAACCCTCTCGTTTCAAACCTTACTTCCTCCTCGATCCCTTATACCCCTCCGAGGCGTCCGAAAAGAAGGTGGTCTCGTGATCTTCTTGTGTAAATTTATTATTTGAGTACTTTCAGTGTGAAGTTTCTCAACAAGAGATTTCATGTTATTATATTCCTGATTACACATTTACTAGTCATATTTTTTTTTTTTTATAATACAGTTGTAAATATCAATGAATAAAAAAAAAAATTACATAGCCATCAAATCAAATTACCCTTCGTCGTAAACCTGACTTACTGTCGTAAAGTATCCTTCAATAATACTCCACTTACCCCTGTTGATCGATCAGAATCGCTCTTTAGGACTCCCTCTGGAGAACCCTCTTACTTGGAATCCTCATAAAAGACTAAAATGAAAAGAAGCTGCTAAACGTTTACGGCTACTTCAACAGTTACAACAGAAACGCTCTAAACTTTCATTAGACTCATAAAAGACTCATATACTTGACTATAATAAGGCCTATTTGGGCTTAATGAGTTGAGTTTTGGGCTACACAAAACCATCAAATTTCTCTCATATCCAATACTTACAATGAGGAATTCTTTGCAAAATTCTAAATGCTTTCTCCTATGTCACAAATAAAATTATTCATAATGACCTTAATGTTCCATAGGTTACTGACTTAGCTCAATCCAGATAACTATCCTTCTATAATGAACTTCAATCCCATCCTAATCCACTTCTTTTTTTTTTTTTGCTACCTCTTCGATTCCTAGACAATCCTCCAAGAGAAAGGAAAAGAAGATGGCCTCGAGACCTCATAGTATAGAACTGTAATTGGAGTGCTACCGATGGGTAGTTTCTCTTCATATACTTCTCATATTACCAATTATAATTTATTAATCGTATTTGTATATAATATAGTTGTAAATTTCAATAACTATAATTTAAAAAAAAATATATGCCTAAATGTAGTTTTAAAACAGAAAGAATTTTTTTTCAAATACCTATATAATAAAAGAAAAATGAATGTAGTAAATTAACTCAACTTTAAATAAAAATAGTGAACAATTTCCAATAATATCAACCAATAAAACAAGCAATAATACAATACTTGAACGAAATACTCTGTAGCAGTATGTGCTCAGTACGTCAGTGAGTGTATTCCACTGATGTTTTGTCACGGTCCTTTAGAAGATATGAATTAATGAAGGTCTAAGTTATTAATTTATTATAGTAATTATTTATGTTAAGTGATAATAATTAACAACCATGATAATGGTAAATTCGGGTAAAATTGATGAGACGATAAATTTCCTTTAAAGCTGTTCAAATAAATGTATGCATGGCCCCATGGGCTTTATTTATTAGGCCACAGGGTGTGCGCTCAGCTGGGACCAGAGACCCGTCATGTCTCGGTATATCCAAAACCTGTTAAATTGGCCATCAAGAAGAAGGGATTAGCCTGAACTTTTCCCAGGAATTACTGGACAGATCGGGGATCCCATATCCCCATCGGAAAATTCTGATAGAAAAAGTGTTGCTTTCTTGTCACAAGTGATCAGAAAATATGAAACAGTTATTATTAATTTTGCAAAGTGAAGCTATAAAAATTTCCAACTATACTGTCTCTTAAGTGGATGACTTAGATGAAAATATCTAAAAATAATATTAAAGAATCATTTTAGTCGTTTATTTCCCAAGTGAACTCTAATCATCATCGCCAAATTTTCAGTAAACGCGAAAATCTACGTCATATTCCAATGGTAATATTAAAAAAAAAAAAAGTTAAAAAATTCTTTATTTGTATCACATCTTTCTGAAAAGCAGTGATTATTTAAATAGTAATTAAGGAACATTGAAACTTGAATAAGACCACTCTTAGAATGAGCTAAACTTCAAGATCCGTTTTGAAACAAAAAATATTGATTATGGTTCGATTCGGAAATACAAAATGGTTTATGATTCAGGAAAAAACAAGTTATTAAAATTGTATTATACTATACAAATTTAATTTCTGTTTATTATTAATTATTAATTACAATAAACTTAATTTATTTTTAATTTTTATTCGAATAAAAAGGTTAACAAGGCTTTTCATAAACTTCTTTTTTTAAACAAAACAATTCATTACATTTCTTGAAAAGAAAAAAAAAATTAGGAAGAGTACTTAAAAATGTTCAAGTTAAATTTTCATAATAGAAAAATTTTGCATTACTACTAAACGGTCTTGGGTTCAAGGCTTTCAGGTGCAAGGTTATGCAAAGAGGTGGTTGGGCCGAGATCAAGCTCAACCGCTAGGTTTTTCCACTTATTTAATTATTTAATTAAGAGTAGTCACTTTAAAGAGGCTAGGCAAGCCCCAGGAGGGTTTTCCTAATCTAGGATCGAACCACAGCTGATACAACAAAATAAATAATTACCTCTCACCGGTAGGACTCGAAACCAGGTTAAGCTAGTGCCTTACTCTCCCTCAACCCACTGCCTATTTTTGCACTATTTTTTTTTAATATTTAGGTTCCTTGTTAAAAAAATAAATAATCACAAAAATCGATTAGAGTTAACTTAGGAAATAAGCAACTCATTTGGAATATACCTTGTTAGGTTACAATTTATTTTAATAATTTGAGTTACAATTTTTTTTTTCATATTTTTTATCGATATAACATTACATAAAAAAAAAAAAAAAAAAAAAGAAAAAAAAAAAAAAAAAAATTTCGGATGTAGAAGATTCCGAAGTGTAGCACCGGATTGTGTTATCAATGAATTTTAGGATTTCCTTCATATATTTTACGGATTTTATTTTATTTAACATTAAATTTCGACATTCTAGTTTATCCATATAACACGAAAGTAGAGTATTGCTATATAAAACTCTAGTAGTCACATATATTGACAAACTTTTTACTATATCTCAATTTAGTACGGTCAATAGAGGTTTGAACGCGGCGATCTCTAAAAAAATTGTTTTTTATCTAAACGGTTATATACGTTTTCTATTTTTTTCTGCTTCCCTATCTGGTATATGTTTTTTAAAAAACCGAAAAAAATTCTGGAAAAAATGCACATTTTTTGTTATATCTCGAAAACTGTTGGACCAACAACAAAACAATTTATAAAATTAATTAAAGATAAGAAAATTTAATTTCAACTTTTTTTTTGTCCGTTAGGCAAAAGCGCGCGTTGGAGTATCGGGAAAAACCTTTTTTTCAACTTATTTTCTTCATCCACACATGTCAGAAGTGCTGACAGTCAGGGAGTCTGATGTCGCGAAGAATACTAATAGTAGCATTGGTCGGCGTGAGGGAGAGGAATACCTAGCGACATCCCTTCCTATCTTGATTTTAGTATACTTTGCAAGCGCGGAAATCCTCCCCAGCTTCTTATGAGTCTCTTAAGCGTCTTTTCGGGCACGTTAATGGTAGCCATACCTTACATAATTGTGTTATTATGTCCATGTAAGTTATCGTGAAATATTTTGTAGTGTGTCCGTATGTGGTCGTTAACTGTTGGCATGCTTAAATCTTTAAATAAGGCAATGTTTCTGACATATCATGGAGCTTTAGTTCGTTATAGTCCAGAAATTTTTTGATTGAACAGTTTTTAGTATTCCTATGTGGGTCGTTTTGGCTGTTTCCTATATCTGTGAAACATAGGTCATTAAAGTAGATAACTGTAAGTGTTCAGTTTCTGTTTTGGGCGTCTTGAAAATGTGAGTATAATAGTCGTAGTTTAACGTTTTTCATTTTTGATATATGAGAACAATGAAAAACTTAATTTATTTTTTCCCTCACTTTAGACGTTACAAGAACTTTTTAAAATAATATATATATATTTTAAAATAATATGTTTATTGTTTAAAATAAACTTGTTATATATATATATATTTAGTTATAGTTTAATATTTAATTTTATATATTTACAAAATAATTGTGCAAGATGTACTTACAGCTGGCTACTTCCATTGTGCAAATCTGGTTGTCAAGAGGGAACTTAGACAGGTCCATCATACAAGAGAAGGTCAACTTTAGCCTAAAAATAAAATAAAATAGGATAATAATAAATAAACTAAAGTAATAAGTTAGATTATAATTGGAAAAAATAAATGATTGATTACAATAGTACCGACAATCTCTTGGTTAAAAACACTAATTGTAAATACGATTGTAAATATGAGATCGTGATCAGCCAAACTCACAATATCTCTTTTGTATAAAAAATCAAGATAGCGATGAATCCTTAATTTTCAAACCCCTATCTAATAGGCACCAATGAGAGAACTTCCCAATAGTGGCTTAGTCCATGAATAATCACGAGAGAAAATCGGAATTCCTAGCGAATGTTTCTATATCCGTCAGCTCTTTGTAAAACTGTCAATACCCAACACTTTTCTTACTCGAATAACAATACTACTCTTCATTGACTGTATTCTCAGCTAGTCTTCTTTTGCGATCATTTTAAGAAACAATTTTTTTTTTTTAATCTTGATTAAAATAAAACATAGTACCTTACGATAAAAATGTTTTTATATGCGTTATTCTGATAATTTTTTCTTAACCTTTAAAACTTAAAATGTACTCGTATACCAAGTGTAACATTGGTTATATTTATATATCCAATGTTATGCTGAAAATCTCGTTTTTTTTCTAAAATAAATATTTAAAATTTAAACATTTAAATCAATACTTTCAAGAAAAAACTCATATTGTTCGCTGATGGCCACCTCCATCTTGGATTGTAATTTAAAAATAAACCATACCTACTTTTCTTACAACTAAGGAAAAGCAGCGTGCATAGTTTCCCCTTAGTTGCAAGAAAAATTGAATCGAATTTAAAGAAAATCAAACAACGCGTTTGGGTCGCAATTAGTGTTGCCCAAAATTGGTCTTGGTCTTCCACTTTGCAAGACCAAGACCAAGGCCGCCTAAAAAAAAGAATCGATTTTTTAAACAAAAATTAAGGCAAAATAATTACTAATACTTGACAATCTTAGTTACTATATGTTAATAATTGCTATAACCAATATACTTTTGCATTTAAGTCGTCCAATTTTTCATTCGGGTTTAGTTAGGTTTCACCTATCTAAAAAATTACAGTAATATAGCAATAACCTAATAAGTAAATGCAAGACTGTTACGAGACTCCTGCGTAAGACCAAGACTAGTCTCGGTCTCGTATTTGGGCAACACTAGCCGCAATCGCAACAGATATCATTTCAAGATGAAATAGGAAGTCACGCTCGGTCACAAATTTGTATTACCTTTATTTTAAAATAAATTATAATGATAATATTTAAATTACGATATTAAACTAAATAATAATATTTTTAAATTTTCAAATTTGCTACCAATGGATAGTTTCTCAACAAGCGTGTTCCATGTGATAATATTCCTAGGTACACATTTACTTGATGTATTCATACTAATACAGTTGTAAATATCATAATAAAAGTTTAAGTTTTAAAATTTTCAAATTTATTATAGCTAGTTCAACTTTTTAAAAAATTACACGTTTTCTAATATAACTTTCCACATGTTGTTCATATGTTCATCTGTAACGTTTATAAATGATCAATTCCATGTTATCCATTCCGATCATCATTACTTTGTATGGATTATTTTGGAATAGCTTTGTAGGAGGAGGGAGTCGAGGCGTCTGGAATCCTACTGAAGTATGTCAAGATTTTTTTAGATTATTTTTTATATGTTTTATTCCAAATTTTACTTCATTAAAAGAGCATCATAAGGTGATAGTTCTTCGGGAGAAGGGTAATGGTAGGATCCATTGTCTATCCGATTCATTAATTTCAGGATATATGATAATTTAGTTTTCTCCTGCAGGGATTTTCCTTAGCAGCTACTTTTGAATTAAATAAATAAAATAAGATATTTATACTTGTCGTCTAACATAAGTATAATAATACTGTAGGATGACAATAAATTTCTTTCAAAATTAAGCCATTTTCAGACGTTTTTCGCACAGTTTTCAGACATGAAAGCCACTCAAATTAAGTTATAGAAATACCTATTGGGGAGCCTTAAATTTTTCCTTTCATCCTCGAAATTCCATGTGGTATTTTTACGGATTAAAATATCTGTGGCGGCAGCACTGTTATTATAAAAAAAATGAACTTTTAAAACGTGGGCTAGATTTTGATCAAAGACAATTATTTTGTATAAAAAGATAAGAAGAGTGACCTAGTAATGTTAAGCGTCCAAAATAAAGAATACAAAGTTGTCATTATTGTTTATGTGGTAATACCCCAACACACCTCTCAGGATTAAAAGATCATATCGAATCAGAGGATTGAAAATATAATCTGTGGATTCAGATGGCGCAAGAGATTTTATTCATGGGGATTTGAACTTTTATTTCCTCACTCCTACTATTTATAATAAATAAAATTCAGAAATAAATTAAGGAATGTTTAATAACAAAACATAAGAAAGAAATTCGGCAGCTCAATTTAATTGAAAAATTCTACTCAATTTTCCCAAGTATCACCGATGAAACAATTGAACCCATTTATATGTCTTCTAAACAAAAATTAATGAAAAATATATATGTATATTTCTCATTCTTCGAGTAACAAGCTCTACTCCACACATTTTTTTCAAAAGTTATCTAACATATTGTAAACTATTTAGTAATAATAACAATCAACAAACAAACATTTGATTTCGTTTGCTTTTCGATAGTTTCGTAAGGTTGTTAAACAATGTTGACTTCCAAACCTCCTGGTTTCCATCAATGTTTGCTATCGTATGGGTATGGCAAAGTGTGCTATTGTGATGCAAAACCTTTGTTCTTGAACTCTTCGTAACAGAATGGCGCACAATCTCCAATCCTCAATTAGTTAATTACTCCAATAACATATTACGTTACATTTTACTTGACTATCTACAGCTTTTAATCATCAAATGTTTTATCATAAACAGATAAGCTCTGTTATAGAAACGATTTCATGAGATTATAGCACACTTATTTCTTTGGTATTTATGATCTAGTAACCATACATGTTACAATGAGAAGCAGCTTTTAAAAAATGGCGTTCGGTGCCTATTTAATTATTTTAAGATTTAATATAAATATAAACTTTAGAGATAGTTTCAAACTAAGAATGTTCATAAATATTTTATAAAATATCAAAATGTTTTTTTTATGATACTTGCTGTGCGCCTAATTTATCTTTGAAAAAACTGACTTGACAGATAGCGTAGTCCGTTTGACGTATTTATACGTAAACAAATTTTTATCATAGCAAGTGTTAGACTATTTAAAAAGGTACTTTATTCTTATTTCCTTTTTCTCCTTGTAAAAGTATCAACTGATCATCTCTTCAACTTAAAAATAAAGTATTATAAAGTTGTTCGATAATAATCGAATCATTTTTTGAATGCCCTTCGAGGTGTTTAATTTTCATTTTTTTCTTCTTCTGTTAATTACCAAATTATTTCATAGTTTATATTTAGTCATTTCTTATTACTATTAAACCCTCGAGACTGTTAATTATTTCATATTAACCATATTAAAGATACTAAAGAGAAAGTCATTTTGAAAATTCGGCACTGAAGGTGTTCAAGTACTTGTTAAAAACTGACTATTTATCTAACATGAAACTATTTTGATAAAACTATAAATTGATACAACAAGCGTAATCAAAATCGTTGAAGCCATTTTCCATCAAACTTGTAAATAAACATGTGGTAAATCGTTTAAATTAAGTTTCACTTCCGAAAAACTAATTATGTTGAAAACTTTGCTGTAACATCCCAGGCATATACAGAAGTTGAATAATTAATTTCAGTTTTTTACGACATTTCGTTTTCGAACAATCCACACTCCCAAACCATTTTGCATGACTTGGTTACTTTAACTAGTGTATTTCCATTATAAATTAGGAATCAAAATTATTTTCCACTGCAATACTTCAACTTATTATATATCTTATATACAGTCGAATCTTGAAAAAATTAAAACCTTGATAATTCGAGTTTTTTAACGATTCAGCTGTTCGGTAAATCGAAAAAGCACTCTATTTTGATAGCTTGATAAATTGAAATCTTTTTCGTAACACGAGGAGAAGATAAAGTTCTATAATTGGAACTATAACACTTCCATCTTTATTATTTTAATTTTTCCTAGTATTAATTTTTTTACATGAGGATATTAATATATAAAATGTACCTAATTTCATAAATATTTTCAAAAATTTTATAAAAATTCTTAATAATTAGAGTTTTTTTTTCTTCTTGTTAATTCATACTTCTTGATAACTCGAAGTCTTGATAATTCAAACTTTTTGATAACTGAAAGTCCTGATAATCCAAAATTTTCTTGAAGTTGGATTTCGAACTAACGAGAATCGACTATATGTGGTAAGTGAAAGTAAAAAGTCGACTAGATAATGCTTAAAAGTTTACCAGAAGAATATTTAATGGAAGCTGTGCTTTGGGTACGGTTTTTTTTTTTTTTTTTTTTTTTTTTGTGAACTATTCACAATAATTTTATTGAACAGTAAATAATACAATCTGCTACATTGAAGGGCAACAAGTATCAAGGCTAAATCTGTTCATTCATACCGTATATACATATTATAGGAAAATAAAAACAAAAAAATAAATAAAAATAAATGAGTTAACAAAAAAAGTATAAAAATAGAATAACATAAAAAATGTATAAATTTTTTTTAAACAAACCGCCTATCTAAAGATCCGTTTACACTATTAAGTTTCTTGATCATAGTCTTGATTAAGCTACGTTTTACATTACATAAAGATTAAATTATTCGAGGGGAATAATGGATCGGGCCTTCGCTAATATTGTATGTATTATACAAATCGTAGAACGTATATGTATTATACAAAGAAACTTGAGTAGAGGAAATAAAAGCAAGTAGCAGATGGCTGGCTGTCGAAGAGATAACTCGAGAGCTGGAACGGGGAGGGACGAGCGGACAAATGAGGCGCCTCGGGAGAGATTTAGCGCCTCACACATGACCAGCTATGTTAGAAGGGAACGGGAGAGGGGAGGGGATGTACTTACAGGCTATTACCTCAACGAGGACTTCTCAAGCAGTGGAAGTGTTTAATCCTTTAAGTGTTCCCTCAGTCTAAAAGTAACCTGCAATATCATTCCTTCAATATAATTACTTTTGATGTTGCCGTACACTAAACCTGAACACCTCTCCTTCTTCCAAACAACAATTCTTCATCGATATAACTTCAGAGATAAATAGCTTGTTACTTTCCAAACTATACTAGGTAAGGAAAGTATTACGATCGGGTCAAATTTCCGACATGCGGTTTTTGACATATCTATACTTTTAAGAGCCTCCTGAGTCCGAAAAAACATTTTTAGCCATTGGTCTGTCTGTTTGTGCCAACATTATTTCAGGAACTAGTGAACCGATTTTGTTGCTTCTTTTTTTTTATTTTGTAAGATTTTGACAACTGATGCCTGTGACACAAATTGGATACTCCAAGCGCAATAAATAAGAACTAGTGAACTGATTTTCCCCTACAACACTATATAAAAATCGTTCATTTCGGACAACTATTAACGGAGTTGCAGCTATTAAATTTACAATGTAAGATTACGGGTTCATATCTTGGTGTTAGAAAGGGGTGAATAGGAGAAAAAAGATAACTAAGTGAAAGTAAGAAATTCTGTTGCCCGCATCACACAAGCTTCACTAATTCCCCTACTTAATTATTGTTTGACAAAATTAGGCAATGGCAAAAAGTTTTTGATCAGCAATATTAGACGGCATTGAAATTTTTACACTGATCTACCTTAAGCCGGTTTACTTCAGTTTATCGAATAAATCGTACTCAAATCTTTTCAAGCATATACATATATATTAAAGCATATAGCATATATTAAATAATGTATGAAAGCATATTAATATATACTAAATTAAACTAATGTTGAATGTTATATTTTTATTTAGGTAAAAGAAGAAAGTTTGGATAATTTAGAGAAGACTTTTCTAGCTAGAATTCCCATTGGTTATTATAAAAAGTGCGCAACGGTCACAACGATTGAAGAATGTAATTTATTTGCATTAATAAAACATAGGATTAAAATTTTTATAAAATTAGTTTTATAAGTGATTTGTTGTCGTTTTCTTTCTCAAATATTTCTTCATATGAAACATTACAACAAATGATTAATTAATGTGAGTATGACTATTGAAAAACGACTTTTAAAAGTAAAAGTTTTAACAATATTTGCAAAACATTAAAATAATAATAATAATAATAATGCTCAAACATTGAATATCAGACACATAAGGGATATTTGGGCACTTTTACATTAAAAATTCTTTTAGAAACATTGTTGAATTTTTTTTTCTCCCTTCCTCAGCTTTTTTGATTATACGTGGTTTTTAACCGAACCAGAGGAGAGGGCAGAGGATGAATATCAGATATACGAGCACCTTATATAAGATTCGACTCGTAATATTCGGTTTATCACGTTGGCGACCAACGCCTATTCCATTCGAGTTAACGCGCTCGGTCACACCAAAAATATATGACTGCTGAATGAATTGTATGGAATTTGTGGTCATATATGAGCTAACAAGCAAATAAGAATTCTCTATGATCGTATTCTTCTTCTCCCTCGAGCAACAAGACTTTTGCGTGTATTGTAGGCTTCTAATGAGAAATTTTACCAGGCTAATATATTTTTTAAATATAAATGTTTGTTTGTTGATATGGACGATTTATCTGCATATTCTAAAATAATGTAATGTCCAATTTCATGGCGGACCCACGGAATTAGCGTTGCCCAAATTAGCGTTGCATGGAGACGAGTCTTGGTCTTGCCAACTCAGTCTTGGTCATGGTCTTGGTCTTGCGCAAGATTCTCGCAACAGTCTGGCAGTTACTTGTTAGCTTATTAATATACAGATATTACTGTATTTTTTTAGAAAGGAGAAACCTAACTAAGCCCGAATGAAAAATTAGAGGAGTTAAATGCAAAATTATATTATATTAAATAAAATTACATTCAATTATTAAAATATAGTAACTAAGATTATCAAGTATTAGTAACTATCTTGCATTCATTTTTATTTTAAAAAACAGATTTTTTTTACCAGTCCTGGTCTTGCAACAGTTAACCGATATTGGGCAACACACACACGGAGTGAATCTCGACCTTACCACTGTGGTTAGATTAGGCTTGGTAGTACCTCTAGAAAAAATCTTCCCCTCCTCGATACCAGGAATAGTGAAGTAGAGGGTAACATAAAAAAAAACCCAATGTCCTCTAAATTCTGTAAAAATAAGTTAAACAAAAGATTACATGAAACGCAAAATAAATAGTTGAAGAAGGATTTACAAAGCATAGAAAGAAATATGTAAATACCAGTTAATCCACTCCTTATAACTCATTCTTTGAGAAAGTAGTAGATTTATATAAAAATCTATACAACTCTTATTTATTAAAACAAAATCATTTTTACCCAAAATATTTCTTCATTTTTTTTATTACCGGGATGAAAATAGGAAATCGTGATGCTTTAATTACTTCTTATGGTTAATTATTACTTCTGATAATTATCAATGTTAAAAATTAAAAATAAATGAAATCTGAACAGAAAACTATCCATATTTTCAGTAAAATTACTAGATCTGCTTGAAGATAACAAGAATGAAAATAATTCGGACCACAAAGTAAGTTTCAATAACATCTCTTTAAGTTATCAATTTACACAAAACTTTAATAAAATTAAAAAATTGATGATTGCAGTGCTTCTTAAAATGTTTATTAGATGAAACAGGAGTGGTAAGTACTGCTACAATAAATGGAATTATAATTTTTAATGTTTTACATAGCGCTTATCTCATGTTGATTCATATTCAGTTGAATAGAAAAAACGTTGATTGTAAAGCTTTTAATGAAATATTAAATCACAAGAAGATGACTTTGGATGAAAAGTTGAAATCAGAATATTTATGTGAGCATTGCAAAGAAAAATATTTCAAAAATAAAAAAATAAATAATTATGAAATAAGTAAAATGAGTAAGTACGTACAAAAATAATTATTATATTCACCAATTACTAAATTATATGGAATAATTATTTGTAGGAATAAAAAGTTTGATACATTTTTTTTTTAATAGGTCAAAATGGGACAAGTGATTGCGAACTTGCTTATGAATTTATAAAATGCGGAAACCATTTCAATGAACAGGTGATATTAACTTCAAATAACCTATTCTGAAATGAAGTTAATAAGTTTTTATTTCGTAATATCTTTGCATGATCATAGCATCTATATTTTCTTTGTAAATTGTACAAATAACATTTCTGACCAAGTTAGTGATAACATGGTCATAACAATCTACCATTAGATTTTTTTTGCTATAAGCAGTTCCCCCCCCCCCCAAAAAAAAAAACCCTTCAAACTTTTCATCATTTTGACAATATAAATTTATGTAGTTAACAAATATAATAGCTTTCAAAGCGATCTTTAGGCAAAGACTGAATGGCTAGTTAAAAACTAAATACATTTCTCTACATCATATTTATATGTGTGGCAACACTGTTAATGGTAATATAATAATGGTTGTTCCATCTCTAAAATTTTGGGTACTTCCTTCGTTTATTATACGGTACATCAGTGTTTCTTTATGTCCACTTTTACTTGAATTAATTATATAACCTTCATTCTAAAATAAATAATTGAAATCCTATATTTAATTTTTCATAAATGTATGATTCTCACAGATTGTTGACTTTGAAGTATTGTGCCATTTAAGGCCATCAAAAGTGTAATATACTATTAAGTAATACTTTTTTATGGATTAAATTGTAAATCCAAATATTTAAAAACATAAAATCAGTGTATTAACATATATAATTATTTAAAAAAAAATAGTAACGAATAAAAACAACAAACCTCTACATCGGTGGTTCTTAAATTATGATTCGCATAGTCTTCGCTGGAAGTCAACGAAATCATATTGACTTCACCCACCTACATTTCAGTTTAATTTAAATAATTCATTCAATAAAATCCAACAGGAGGAAGACTCTTCTTATTTGTTGTAACTTAACGAGTTATTTATATAACTTAACATTTTATATAAAATCAAAATACAGAAACGAACTCGGCGTAGGAGTGGATCTCGGAATAAAACTTTCCAACTTAAAGCCAGACATTGCTCCTTCGGTTTGTAGAAAACAACTATATCCATTCAATGAAGTAAATATAATATTAAGATCTATTTTAAGCAACATTCGACTATGACATTTTTGTAAGAGTTTGATTTATTATGACTTCTTAATTATTGTTTCTTTTTTATTCTATTTTTGTATTTTCTTTTATATCCTTTCCTTTCCTTGTGCATGATTATTCATTTGAAACATTAGCGACATATTCTTCTTTTTTTTATTTAACTTGTTTATTGAGAAATATTACAAACTGTCTCAATTAAGGACACTTATAATAGAGTTCAGAGAGCACATTAACACCGTATTAACAGAAAGATAAATAAATAAAGTAATAACAAAATAATACATAGAAATAAGAAAAAAATAAAATATTATAAGGAGAGAGAACAAAATATACACAAATAATTAAAAAATAATAATTGTTTATACAATTTATTTTGTAGCTCTTGAGGTCTGTTATCATTTCTTTAAATATTTCCCTCTACTGAATTTATTATTATTATTATTATTATTATTAATTATTAACATTAATTACCCTTCCTATAAAAAATTGTTTTTCATGTTTCTATTATTTCTTTTTGTTTTTTAGATTTTGCTTCGATAATATATCCAAATATTTTAAAACTAAGATGCTGATACAAAAAAATAAGCGCGTTTAACCATATATGTGTTGAAGCACTATGCATCTTCGCTTTAGTAATTTCATTCAATTTGTTCATGTACATATATGTTTGTTGAATAAATATTGTTAACTTATGTAACATAGTTATTTTTGTTGATAATGCTATTATTTAAATGGGGGCAGGAAATGAATAAAAATGTTCATCTAAATCCAAAATGACCAGCATACCTAAGATTAAAAATGCTGTTTATAGACCGTGGTGCAGAATACGTTTTGTCAAATTATTAACATCCGCCCGAAACTTCGTAAATGGCTCAATATCATCGTAATCTACCACTTTGTTATTTATGTAAAATCTCGGAATTGGAGCTTTTTCAAACTAGAGGGGAACAAACTTCGTCTATTTAATTAGGTACTAAAAACTCGTAAATAGCCATTTGCTTTCCATTTGGATCGTAAGATAATTTGATCACAAAATCGATAAAAAAGGTGGCCTACAAAGATATTACGCCGTTTCTCTTATATAACCTCTTTATTTTGAGAATTTGGGGGCATTAGTCACGCCAAACGGCTCAATATTTTTGAAGGCCACATTTTTTATCGATTTTGTGCTCTTATAGTTTATGGTTTAAGATATTAAGTTACGATTCAGGTGGAAAGCAAATGGGTATTTAAAAGTTTTTAGCACCTAATTAAATTGATAAAGTTTGCCCCACTCCAGGTTGAAAACGCCCCAATACCGAGAATTTTTGCTAATGAAATATTTGTAAGTTACGATGAGATGAAGTTATTTACGAAGTTTCAGGCGGATGTTAATAATTTAATAAAAAGGGGTCTGTACAACGGACTATTATTTAAGCATTATTAAAATAATTTCAATTTTAATGCTTGTAAAATGAAAGCAAGAAATGTAAAAGAGCAAATGAAAAAATGGGGCATTCGCCCTTCAGGAAAGCTGTTGACAAAAATTGTTAGCTGAAGTAAGCTAAAAATAATCAGTAGTAAAAAAGGCCATCAGATTCTTATTTAGAAATATTAATTTAGGGGCTGTAGAGAAACGTTTTTATTTTTTAATGCCATAACTATTTGTATATCCTCTTCTAAAGAAAAAAATTCTTCCTTGCTTTGAATTGAATAAAACATTTCTTAGTTATATATCATATTTATTTTTTATTTTATCAATATAGATCTACTCCAAGGAAGGTATACTCGTAATTGTCTTGAGTTGAAAAAATAAGAAATCTTCAGAGAATGATGATCTCCTTTAAACAATTAATTAATTTCTTACCTAAAAAAATATTTTTTGAACTTTCAAGGTGATGGTTTGGATGAAAAAAAAAAAAAGCTGAATTATCAACAATTAATCAATTAATTATTCAGAAAAAATAGAAGATACAAACTTGCAATTATGAAAACTATCGGATCCTGCGTTTTTAAGCCCAAAAACGTGCTATTTTCGAGATAACGCAAGGCATAAGGTTCGCATCCACACAACGTTAATTGTAGTACTGACATTGAATACATGTCTCATTTCGTCAACTTGAGGCCTCTATGATCGAGAGAGGAGGAGTTGATATTATTTATAGATGGTGTTTTTGATCGGCAAGCCATATCATAGTTAATTCTTCAACAAATCTATTAATACATTTTAGAATCAATAATTTATTTTAGATAAAATTAAGTAATCCTTAGAGAAATTGGTTCGTCATATTTTAGTATGACAGGCAAATATTTGGCAATGGCAATATCAAATCCCTTCGATATGTAAAAGAAAATACCTCAGGAATGGCCTTGGCCAGTTTTCCGTAACATCCAGAATGTATGTAGAAATAACGAAAAAGCACTAAAAAAAAAAACCAAAAATCGTCATCAATTTGATGACTTAACATTGATTATGTTTCATTTCACAAACATTACCTGGTTCGAATTATTTAAAGAAAGCTTACATTACGTCGACTTGACGATATTTCTTATTTTTTCCCCGTTTTTTATAAGTATATATTTGTTTTCTCTCCAAACTGGCCAAGTTAAGGCAAAATATAGTAGTAGAACAATGAATAAAAAGTCGATTCAAATATGATTGAAACATTGTCCCAGTTTCAGACGAACTAGTGATTTCTGAAATTATAGTCCGTGGTATCTTTTTATCGAATTATTAACATCCGCCTGAAATAGTTTCATCTCATCGTAACCTGCACCTATTTTATTTATGAAAACAATTAGAATTGGGGCGTATCTGGAAGGGGACAAACGTTGTCAATTTAATTACGCACTAAAAACTCGTAAATACCTATTTCCTTTCTACTTGGATCGTAACATAATTTGATCACAAAATCGATAAAAAAGGTGGCCTACAAAAATATTGGACCTTTTGTCCTATATAACCTAGTTATTTTGGGGGTGTTTTCGAAAACTAGTATAAAAATGTATTCTAAAATATGAATTATAAATTAGTTACATTGAAAATTTTTTAGCAATAAGACTACTCATCACAGTTCGTTGGCATCACAGTACTTTGTTGTATGAGGACTTCCACGAACATTTAATTTTTTTTTTAAACTTTCATCAACATATAACAGGAAAGTAGGAATAATCTCGTAAGAGTTTTTAGGGTTCATTTCCCAATATCATTCTCACTCGATTTAAATACATGAGGCGGTTTATCAGCACAGGACAAATGCTTCTAAATGGGAAAAATCAACAGTAGAAAGCACAAACGAAAATAAATAGAATGTTACAGGGCAATCCTGTGTGAGAGCGACTCATTGGAACAAATATTTAAAATCAAATCATCGTTGAAATGTCGTTAAATATTTGTCGATTTTTCGAAAATTAAAAATTCATTGGAACATTCTTTTTTTTTCAGCGATTCAATTGTTCATATTAATTTTTGTAAAAAGGTAAAAACTTGGGAAGTATCAGATATTACATAATAAATATTTTCAATTAAAATATACTAATTAAAATGTCATATAATAAATTAATGACTTTTCAGGCTGATGATTTAACACATCCATTTAATAAACCCTTTAAAAATCTGTCTTTAATACCCTCTTCTAAATTATTTTAAACTGAATATTTTACATACTAGCTAGAGAAAGTGTTCGTTTTTTTCTCCAATGACTTTTTTTTTCCATAAGATATTTGCAAATCACTAGAACTTCTGTAGGTAATTAAAAGTAAAGAGAATAACTACATTTTTAACATGAATTTGGTGAGAAGAAACTAAGAAATTGTTTTTATTATTAACTTAATCTGAAATCAAAATACGAAATCAAATGTTGTTCTTATTCCAATAAATATTATTGCATATATATTTTTTCTCTTAAAATGTTAATCCGCAACTGTCCTGAATTTGATTATAAGCAGATTAATTGTTACAGTTTATTTGGAAAATTGTATTTTAGGTGTGACTAAAAAGTACCCAGACAGCACCTCTTCCTGTTTTTTATCTCCTTCCTTAATTGAGGAAAGGAGATCTTTCATACAGCTCCTTTTAGTTGCCTCCTGATGGGCATGTCAGTTGTAGCCATGTCGTTTAGAAATCTATTGTGTATGTGTACTTTAATAAGAAATCGGGAGTAAAGAGTGTTGGTAGACAGGTGTTTGTCGTAAATCGGTATATAAAGTTTCATTGTTTACGTCCCAGCGAGCTTGAAATGAAATGAAAATGAAAAAAATAATTTTATTCTGGGACTACTATCCCCTAAGAATAATAAAAAATATAAACTAATTAACTGTTAATTATCATTGCAAATATGCAGTAGATTGAAATTAAACAGTATACGGATGCAAGTAATTTTACATGTTTGCGGAAGTTTGAATGTGGAGCAGGTGATGGAACAGGAGTTGTTTGAAGGAATTTGTGGACGAGGATTGACGTATGGAGGTAGGAAGAGAGCTCCATAAGGAAGCAGCACGAATGACGAAGGATTCGCTGAAGGAAGAAGTTTTATGGGAGAGGATATATAAGTCTATAGGTTGAGACCTGGTATTAAGAGAGTGGAAACAGGAACGTAGAGTAAGGAGTTCCAGGATGTAGGGAGGGTTTTTGGTTTTCTCTGTTATTAGTCTTAAAATTTTGGATTGAAATATTGTTAGTTTTTGTAAATGCTTAGTTTTTGCTGAACCGTAAATCTGTGATCCGTTTGTCCAACGGTTATGAGTAAATATATATCTGTATTTAATTTTTGTCTGATTTTCAACTTTAATTTGAAAAAAAGGTGAGTATAATATTTTCAGTCGGTCATTTAAATTCTTTATTTTTATTTTGATTTATGGGTTTAAGTAGTTAATTGTAAAAATACTAAAATAAAAAGTTAAAAAAATTCTTATAGCAGTTCATTCGATTCGATTAGTAATTTTCTTTAAAACCAACAATCATACTATGCTGTTTAATTCCCCACCACGAATTTACATGTGTTCTAAAGAACAACTCGAAAACTAAGCGAAACCTGATTACCATGTCCTATCGGAGCAAAACTTGGTGGAGTTTTCCAACTGGCTTTCCCAAGCGTGTAGACTATCGAGGGAACTGGTTGCCTATTCAGCTCAAGGAAGGATAAACAAACAACCCATTCACGAAGTGTTCACTTACTTTAATTGAATACAGTTTATTTTTAGCGTTTTTTTAATTACATAATACGAAATAGTATATCTGAAAAAGTTATTGTTGTAAAACACTTAGAATAAATAAAATTTAGATAGCTTACCTCTTACAATTTATACCTTTTACAATAATTATATTTGTTTTCATGTTTTGTTAAAAAATATATATGTACAACTAAATTATTCTTCAAATGACAATCTAAATTATTTGATCGCTTCAGTAAATATAAAATCGGTAACCAAAATAAAGGAAATTGGTTCGGCAATAATACATTTGTTAAACATTTAGAACAATATATTGGCTCCAAAATTTCCGATATCGGTGACTTTTTTTTTTTTTTTAAAGGGAGGTCTATTATATTTTAAATAGCCGTATAAACAATTCAAAAAGTTTGTCCTTTTAGAGCTGATTGCAAATAAAAACACTTATTATTACCATTTTTTTTTTTGGTGAAGTAAATTAAATTTTTTTTAAGAGAACAT